TGGCAGGTCCCGAGCTCAGCAAGCAGGTCTGGCTCCATCCCTCCCTCCCACAGCTGATTACCCGTGATGCACGCATCGCTGTGAAGGCTGGGACTTGTCCAGACCTGACACCATGCTGGAAGTGCAGGGAGCACACTTAGAGGCAGGCTGTGTGGTGCCCTGGCCCTGGGTGGTGGTGGTGGTAGCTCCTTCTGTGCTCGCTGCCACAACCTGCCAGCTGGCCAGGGCTGGGGGATGCCCTGGGGCTCCTTGCCCTGCAAGTGGAAATGGGATGTAGCTGTGCTGCCAACATGGGCTGGGCTGATCCCACTCTGTCCTGCTGAAATGGGAATGGCAAAGCAGGGCTGATGTCCCGCTGAGGGGTGGCTAATGTTTTGGTGTTGGGCTCTGTCCTGGGCCCGGCACCTGGCCTTGTGGTCTGCCCTTGAGTGGGTACAAAAGCGTGGGTGACTCCAGGCAGGCTGACAGCAGCTTGGGATGTCATGTTTTGCCTGCAGGCCTGAGATCAAGACCATGGGGCTGCATCCGCAGGTGTCACAGATCCATCAGGCTCAATCACTTGTCCTTTCCACTGCTGCCTCCACCCTCTGCTTGCCCCACTTTCTCAAAGGTGCCTGTGTGGGGGTGACAGTGCTGGGACACATGTGGCCTGTGATGAGGTACTGGGTACATCTTGTTCCTGGGACTCCCAGGACCCAATGACAAGTACAACACCAGTGCTGTAGCTGGGACAAAACTTCTGCCTCTTCCCCAGAGACTCGTTAAAAACGTCACATGGAGGGAGAGGGAAAGGTGTGGGCTGTTTGAATTAGCGATGAGTCAGGCTGGCAAAGCCAGATGGGGAGAGTGCGTGCCTGTGTGTTTGTGTGCGTATAAGTAATCTCTGGCTTTGTGTTTTTATTATGATTATTATTTTTATTTCCAGGGGAACGATGAATTTCTCCAACCATCCTGTCCCACTGGAAAGGCTGGCTCTGCTGTCCTGTCCTCCCTAAGCATCTTGGGAACTGGAGTGACGGTTCGCGGCTGTTTTGAGCCTCGGCTCTGAGATCAGAGCACAAACCAGTTCTTCCTCGCCTTTCATCATCGCTGTGCCAGGGCAGGAGTGAGGTCCGGCTCTGCTGCCGCTACCTTACATGGAGGCAAGAGCAGAGGAAGGTGCTTTGGCTTCTTCTCCAAGCAGAGCTCCTCCAGGTTTGCTCCCCTGTGCCTGGGGCAAGGCACTCCATCAGGCACAGGATGGGGCACGGCAGTCAAATGGGCTGGCATGGCTGGGGACCTCACCTGGGGGAGGAGTGGCTGCAGTGGAAAAGGCAATTATGGTTAATTTGTTGTTAATAAAAAACACCCTCTTCCAATTGCCTGGGCTAAGATACACTCTCCACTGGAGGAGGGAGCCCAGTCCTGTCCCCAGCAAAACCTGCCCTGCAAAGTGATGAGGGCAGCAGGAAAACACCTTCAGCAGCACCAAGGGAGGCATGGCTGGGGTGCAATCCCTGCACGTGTACCCACAGTCAGCTGGAAAGCCCTGGGCCATATCTCTCCCTTCCTTTCCCACCTTGGTCATCTCCTGGCTAAAAGGACCCTGGAAACTGTGCAGAGGTCCCTGATCCCTTTGTAACTCGTAAAGAATAGCACCATGTCTTTTGGGGTGTGACCTGGCACAGAGAGGAGGCAAATGGGGAAAGAAAGCAGCAAGGCATGGAGAAACACCTTCCAGCAGAAAAGTGAGTCATGGCCACAGCATGGCCTGGCACCATGTAGTCACCTGCCAGCTGGGCTGGGGCTCTGGGGGTTTCAAAGCTGAAGGTAAGTTAAAGAGGAGCTCAAGTGGGTTTCAGTCCTCTGAGGATGACCCAGCTCGTGGGGATCCCCAATGTTGCAGCCAACGGGTCCCACAGAGCTGGCCCAGGGTTGTAGGTCTGTAGGGAGAAGGAGTGTTGCAGATCTGAGAGGGCTCCTTACCCAGGGTTTGACCCTGGGGATGCTGCTGTCCACGGGGACAGCACAGAGTTGGGGCAAGAGTGCTATAGGATGGAGCCTGGGTGCTCCAGGGTGGGAGGGATAGTTTGGGGGTGCTTGGAGGGGATGACACAAATCGTTCCTCACCACAACGTGAGCTTCCCCAGGGCCAAGGCTGAAGTATGCTCATGTCTCCCATCGGAAGGGCAGGGGGAAGGGTCCCACCCCTGCCATGGGGGGAAGGTCCGGCCGTCTGCCGCTGCGTTCATGCTGCTTGGGGTGGGCCAGGCGCCACGATAACGGGGCTGTGGCTGTCACCGCACCCTTAGGAAACATTTGGCTTCAGGCACCTGAACCCATGGGGAAGCGATAACTCCCCGGCTCGCTCGCCCTGCCTGGACCCACACCTGACGCTGTCGTGCCTTAGTCATACACTGAGAGTTTTTCCACTGCCGGGCCCCAGATAACCTCCTCCCGCCCCACTGGTCACAGTGTTTGCACTTGTCCTCCCCCGCTGGTGCCAGCCTGGGAGACATGCACACCCTGAGCCCTGGTCTGGAGGCATGAACACCTCTGGCCTGGGGCCACCTTTGGTCATGCATGGCAGCCAGGGCACGGCTAAAGGGCATGAGGTGGGTGAGGAGCTGGCCTGGAGGGGGCCAGTGCTGCCTTCCTGCCAGGGCTGAATGTGGGGGGACATCTCTCCCCCGGCTGCTGGGTGACGGTCAGATCTTCTGGCTTGGTACTCTGGACATCCCTGGCATCCAGGACAGTTGGAGGTGGGTGATGGTGTTGAAGTGATGCCAAAGCCCCAGAGCACAGAACCACTGGGCTCCTCAGCATTGCTGGTTTTCCCTGACCTGCTACATTCCCTGGGCTCTCCCTGTGCCCTGGCTAGGCAGGACCCTGGTGCTCCAGGAAGGTGACAGGTCTGGGCACATGTCCCAGTGCAGGACTCTCAAGGATGCACCAGGTATGTGCAGGCTGACTGAGGTCTCTAGCTATGTCTCTTTGCTCTTTGGAGGCAAAGCTCTGGGATGCAGTGGCCAGAGGCAACAACTCCAGGTCCCCTTGCAGCAGTGCTAATCACTCCACTGATGACCAGATTAGCAAAAGCACCAGTTGATGTGTTTCACCTGTAGGTCCATACAGCTCCTGGTGGGACATAACCTTGCAGTGACACCCATGCTCATAACTGTCCACAATCTCCACCATTCATGACATCAAAAAGCTGCTACTCTGGGGAAATGAGCTCAAAAGTGCCTCAGGCTGTTTGTAGGAGAGAGTTGATCACTGTGCACTGAGGCAGTCCTGCTGGGATAGGGCTTGAGCAGGTCTGGCCTACAAGGAGGGGATAACAGTCAAAAAACAGACATTGAATGACCATCTGTCACTGGGTTTTATTGTTGGGACTGGTTTTGTTTTCTGTAAGTGCTGTTTAACAACATGAATAGACTGTTAACGACCCGCCAGCAAGTGGCAAAAAGACTCTTCTGGTCTTGGGGGAGTGTGGACCCCACCTCCAGGTCAGCTGTGGCAAGGAAGCAAGGATATGTGCTAGAAATTATTGGGAATGGCCACACAAAGTCATGGAGGAGGGCTTGGGTGGACGAAGCAGAGCCGAGGGAAAACAGGCAGTACAGGAGAAACCTCAGGATCAGCTCTTCCTTGTGGAAGAGCCAAGATGCTAAAGGACATCCCTGGCAGTGTGGAAGGCAGCAGAAAAGGAGTTAAAACACTGGGGACAACAGATGGTACTCTGGGGGTGCTACCAGTTCCCATTGTGGCACACTGGCACTGACTGGGCCCTGATGCAGAGGTAACATGCCAGTCTCCGTGGGAAGGGATTGTCAGCAGGATGGGAATGGTGGGAACTTCAGCACAGCCTGGCTGGCACTGGGGGACTCCACGCAAGAGTTACCCCATCACAGCAGGGTTCAGCTCATCCCAGGGCTGCACAGGAGAAGAGATTCCCCCAGAGACATCTCCTCTCCTGGGCTATCCAAGGTGGCTGGCAGATCCCCGTGCATCTCTGCCCTGTGCTGAAACCACCTGCTTCGGGCAAACTTCTGCCAGGCAACCCTGATGGTGGCTCTGAAGTCCCTCCTGGCCCTTCACTGCTGTTTCCTCCCCTCTTGCCATTCTGCCATCTCTTTCCCCCCACAGCCAAGAGGAAACGGGACAGTCTTATCAGTAAGACTTTCACTCCTGGCTGCCCCAGGTGAGCGCAGCCACTTCTGGAGCAAGGAGCGGGAGGGCGAGGAGCGCACGGCCTGGAACACGAAGCCAGGCCGAGCATCCCGAGCGCACCGTGCGGTGTTGGCACTGGGCAGGCACCCGGCACGGCACGGGGCAGAGCTGCGGGAAAGGAGACGGGAAAACTCCTGGCGAGCTCTGCGGAAAACTGGGCTCAGCCCCGGGCCCCCCGTCACAGAGGCCCCGAGCGAACGGGCACCCCTGGCCGGGGGTGAGGGGGGAAACCCAGGTAGCGCACACAGGGGGCGACCCTTCCCGCGCGGGCGGCTCGGAGCCGCGCTGGGGCGCGGCTGCTGCACTCCTGCGCGGGGCGAGCGCGCCCGAGCGAAGCTTTGCGCCCCGAGCGGAGCCAGGCTTGCCGGGCCCCGGGTGGTCCCCGGTGCTGGCCGGCGGGGGAGGCGGCGCGGCGACCGCCGTCCGGGGCGCCGCCGACTTGCCGGGAGCGGGCCGAACCGCGTCTCTCTGCGCTCGCCCCCGCCGCGTGCTTCCCCAAGCGCTCCGGGCACGTGTCCGGCGCCGAGTTGGCGGGAGCGGAAGCGGCGCTGGCCGGGCCGCGCGGCGGCGCACGTCCCGTGGCCGCGGACGGCGCCGTTGGGTTGCGCCGGCCCCTCGGGGCCCTCGGGCGGAGCGCGCGCGGACCCGTGCTCGGGCGCGCCGAGTCCCTCGCCTCTTCGCAAGGCTTCGGGACTCCGCCGCGGGGCCGCGGGCGCGGCCGGCGCGCGCGCACGCCCGCGTGACCCGCTGGGTGCAAGGCCCCGTTGTTGGGCCTGGCGGGGGGATGGGAGGCGGCTGAGGGGGGTGTGTGTCTATGTGGAGCTGCGCGTGTGAGTGTGTGTGTGCACATGTAGGCGTGTGTGTGAGCGGATATACGTGCGGGTACGGGTATGCACACACACACGCGCGTGTCTGTGTGTGCCCGCGGTGCCCCCGAAGGAGTTAACCCCGGACCCCCGGTTTCCCGCCCTCCCAGAGCTGGAGGGGACGGACAGGACGGCGCAGAGAAGGCCAGAGGGCAGGCGGAGAGATGGCGACGGGGGCAGACGTACGGGACATCCTGGAGCTGGGAGGCGTGGAGTCGGAGAACACGGGCACCATCAACAAGAAGGACATCATCAACTCGGATAAGGTGAACTGCAGTGTCCTGAGGGGCTGCTACGTGTTTTCTGGGCGCTGACCGACCTTGTGTGTGGTGTTTGGGGTGAATATCGGGAAAAAAGATGGAATAAAGTGTGTTCCTACCATAGCCCATTTATAGTTGTGCTTTCTAGGAGTGTCAGGAAATGCCTGGAGGGCCCCAGTCCTGGGTTCCCGGTGTTCTTAGTTAACTGTGCTGTGGCACTTGGTGTGGGATTTAAGCTGGAACTGTGTAAGTGGTGTCCTGGTAAGCTGGGCCTGGCCCAGGACATTTTCAGCTGTCGCTAAAATTCCCATTTTGTGAAGTGTGTTTACCATCTAACCCCCCCCAGGCAGATGGAAATAATATAACACAGTCCTGCTTTAGAAGAGAGAAAACATTGTCTGAGTTAATCATAAATGTCTTCCAACCGAGGGAGCATTCCCTGTGTGGGGAAGGTGTGTGGCTGGGCTTTGGGACAACTGGGATGTGTTGCCTGGGAATGTGGGCAAGTTAGTAAGCTCTCTTGAGGCTGTGAGATGTCCTGTGATGAGTTCTGTGTGGTAATGTGCTGTGTTATCTTGTTGCCTTCTGTATTTTAAATTCAGGCAAGGTCTTGGGTGTCCCATGTTTTGCAAGGTGTTGGGAAGGTCCATTCCCGAGTGTTTATGAGCTGTGGAGGTGTTTGGAAGTGAGCCCAGGGAGATGAAATCGCCAGGAGCCCTCTGGTACAGAGATGGTCTGGTTTGAAGTCAAATCTGTGTGTTTGTTTGGGAAAAAAAAATCAAAACAAAGCTGAACATAGGCAACCATCCCATCCCTAAAGCACTTCCTGGCTGTCATTGTTTGCCTCCACTGGAAAGTTTGTCTCTGAGGAGAAGCACTGTGCTTTCATGGCTGCCTTGTTAGGGGTAGGACACACAGGATCATTGGGGTGATGGAAAACCCATGAGTTTCAGTCATTTAAAGGCTGAAATGTAAAATGCCCAGTTATCAGCTGTGGTGGTGAGCAGCTCGTTGGCTGGGTTCAGCCTGGGGTGTTGCCACTGAGTGCTCGGGGTTGTGGGTTCTTTGATTTAAATGTGTTTGTCTGTTAGCCAGCAGAGAGCTGAAGGAGCACTGGTGCCTCTCTTTTTGGAGCAGAGAATAAGATCTCTCCTCAGATTTACTGTAATAGAGAGAGGAAGGGGAGATGCAGTGAGAGATTTTGGGAGGAATGCAGGAGGCCACTTGAGTAAAACATTCTGAATTTCTGCAAAGTACAGAAACTAAGCCAAACCCAAGGTATGAGCTGTTATCACGTGGAGAGCACATAGTTGCTGATAACAGTGCAGCACTTGCTCAGGAAATAGATCTGCTTTCAGTTAGAAAAGAAGCAGATTGATGTCTTGAAATCAGGAGAGAACCGTGAAGTACTTTCCAGTCCATTAGTGACTGAGAATGTTAAATAAAAATTACTAGGCATAAAAAGATTTAAATCAGCAGGACCAAGTAATTTGTTCTCAACTCCTAAAGAGCTGGGTGAGCTGATCTCTGGCCTGCTGATATTAACTTTTAATAAATCTGGGAACTCTGGGGGGATTCCAGAAGGCTGTCTTCAAACAGGGTGTGTGGTGACCCATGGGTAAGTGCCTGGGTTGGCCTTACATTGCTCCTGGGCGAAGTGATGGACACACCAGGAGAGAGGTGTTTGATTAGGGATGAAAAGGTGCTGATATAATGCATGTCTGTCATGAAGTTTTATGGAAAGTAGTTGTAGTCCAAGCTGACACGTTATTATTTTTTCAGTGGGATCTTCAATTTGCTTGATAAAGGTGACTGTGTGGATTTAACACAATTTATGATACAGTGTTAGTTTTATCAGAAAAACATTCTGATTTGAAAGTCGGTGGTGATATGGAAACAAGTATGTGATAGTAGTGACGTGACTACTATTATAGAGATGGTACAGTTAGACCAAATGCTCAGAAAATTTGTCCCACTTAAATAAAGTGCAACTTCCTAGTGTGGCTGTTACTGTATCTACCTGAATCCTAAGCTGATGATCTCATAAAGTTGTATATGTGGTGTGAGTTGAACTGTATCTTAGAAACCATCAGTTCTGACAAGGTAGGGGCCAGGTTGAGTCGTGTACCCTGAATTCCTTGGATGAAGAAACTATGTAAAAAAAAAAATTGTTTGCTGTATAAATGGGAGAGCTGAGTTGGGACCAGGGAGTTTTTGTAGGTGGTACAGGTAGTATTGCCAAGGGGCTGCTGCAAGGGCTTGATCACAGCTGGTAAAAACTGAAGCTGCTGCAGAACAAAGTGACAAAGACCAAGAGGGGCTGGGAAGACATTTCTTATTATCTTCTCTAAAAGGTAGAGAAGCACTTAATTAAATGCATTAATACCTCTGTATGAGGACCTAGTGCTTACCTAGTATGAAAAGACTTAGTGCAACAGCCCCTGAAAACTACAGCCAGATGTTCAGCTTGGAATTTAAGTGTGTTATCAGCAACAGCAAGTGTCTGAGTACTGGTGAGTGCTATCTCTGAAAGTGGGAACATTTTGTCTGTCAGTGTCTTCCACCAGGAACAGGCACTTTCCTGGAGAAATTCAAGGTGTCTAAACCCAGATAAAATTCAAAACCCTCACAGGACACCAGGTTATATAGTTTAATGTTCCTTCAGGAATTGCTGCTTCTCAATCTAAAATGCAGTTCTTTTGTTTCAGAAAAAATCCAAGAAATCTTCAGAGACGTTGACGTTTAAGAGGCCAGAAGGAATGCACCGAGAAGTTTATGCACTTCTCTATTCTGACAAGAAGTAAGAGCTTATGGTCATCTGTGCAAGTTGTGGGGTGGCCTGGGCTTTTGGTGGCAGGGCAGTGTCCTCTTGAAACCAGGCGCAGTCTCGCTTCCCAGATTGATTCCCCTTTTGTGCTTGGCCCATGCTTGTGCCCTTCCCTAAGACAGTCATGGGGAGTGTCTGTCTTCTCTCTTCTAAATTTGAGGGGTTTGCTTGATGTAGGAAATGAATTAGATACAAGCACAATAGTCTAGTGCAGTGTTCTTACCCTCTGTATCTAATTCTCTCAGTCTCAACTGGGAACATTATCCACTTTTATTTCTGCAAAAAGAGTTCTGCAGCCTGTATTTATTACTTGTTAAGGATTGTGCCTTTGCCTCAGAGGTCTCTTGCACAGTTTACTTTTCAGATGGTTCTGTCAAACCCATCTGTGCTGTGTATTCTGTCCTCTGATGAGGGAAGCATTGCAGTCTGAGAAGTGCAGAACTTGGAATAAAGCCTAAACTTGGGTTTTCCCACCTTAAACGTTGTGGTGGCAGATTCCACTCTGAATCTGAAATCTCTCTGGGTTTCTCTTGGGCCAGTCCTTGCTCCTCGTCAGCCAACACTTTTCTCCACCGCAGGGATGCACCTCCACTGCTGCCAAGTGATACAACTCAGGGTTATCGAACAGTCAAAGCAAAACTGGGGTCCAAGAAAGTCCGGCCTTGGAAGTGGATGCCTTTCACCAATCCAGCCAGGAAAGACGGAGCAATGTTCTACCACTGGAGGAGAGCAGCAGAGGAAGGGAAGGACTACCCTTTTGCCAGGTTCAATAAAGTAAGTGGGAGAGCACTTTCAAACAAAAGCATATAAATAGCAGCTGGAAAATACCCTTCAGTCAGCTTCTTGACTGTCCAGAGAGGAAGTTGGTTCTTTCAACAAGTGAAGGCTGTGTTAGGTTTGGTAATTGCATTTTAAATTGCAGCATGGCCTGCAGCCATGTGACCACAGACTCCAAATCATTCAAGCGAAGTGGGCTCCATGTGTGGTCAGAGCTTGCTGGAGCCCCCTGTGTTTCAGGTGTGCAGTCATTGGTTTGGTGAGGAGGCACTCTACCATCTCTCTCAGTTCCTGACCAACATCCTCCCCCTGATTACAGGCTCAGGGTACTCAAAGATATTCTATTCTGAGTGAGACATTAAAGTCATAAGTCTTGTTATTTTTCCCAGTATGAAAAAAATTACTTGAGCTTCATGGCCAAAAAGCTGGCTTGCAACCTTTTGGCCAGATTCCAGCACAGATGCTGAATTACGTTGTGTTCCCTCTGAAATTGCTCTTGTGGTATCAGTGTGGTGCAGTACCCTGTTCTTTGCGTCTTATATTAAATTGTCACAATGTGTTGTTGTAATCTCCTGCTGTCTTTTGTCCCAGATGTATCTGCTTTGAGTGGCTGGACCTTTCATGTCTATGCACAAAGAAAAGTACATCAAGATTTATACTTCAAAGCCAGGACCTCCAAAGTTAGGAAGGAGCGGAGTTAGGGTGCCTCCATAATGTAATTTAACTCCCTTCATGATGCAAATCTGAAAGGGTAAAAAAAAGCATGTGCTAACATGATTCCACAAAAGCTCTGCTTGTGTGTAACCGTATACAATATTTTAAGTTTGTAACCCACAGAGCATCAGCTCTAACAAAGCTTGGCTTCCTGCAGAGTTAAGTGGTTGGTTGACCTTATATGTTAGAAGGCTCAAGCTCTGACTGATGCTTTTCCTCTTGCTGGGACATTGGTAAGAGCCTCCTGTGGTATCTCTTCTCTGATGTCTGGGGTGGAAGTCTGAAGTATGACTCACTTAGTCAAGGCACCTACCTAGCTGTCTGAGTGAAACTTTGTGAGGCTAATTGTCTCCAAGACTTTACTGCTGCAACTGGCTTTGGCTGAGTTCAGCTGAGTTTATCAGAGGAGGCCACACATGGGTGTTGTAATTATACAATTCTCGTTTCCTTGACTTTATCAGGTACTGTGAATTGACAGACAGAAGAGCCTTCAGCAAGGCTGTAACCTTTAGATTAGTGGTACAGACCTCTGCCATCTGCACAATCACATAATATTAGGAGCAAGTTGTTACCCTTGTGGTTCTGTAGTTAAGAAGGTCGAAGGCAAGATGAAGAGTTTTGCAGATATTTGCTGCATTAGGGGAATTTTATTTAGTTTTCCAGACTCTTTAGTGGGTTCCTTCTCTCATACTTGATACCTTTGCCTGAATCTCTCGCTCCCCTTGGCATGAGGCTATTTTCCTGTGTAGTCTGTCCTGTTGGTCGCTCAAGCTACTTAACCCAGCTCCTGAGTCACTGCTCAGTTGCTTCCCTTTTGTCTGTGCTTCCAGTCTCCAAACCAAATCCCTCCTCTTCATTGTGAGATCCAAAATGTAAGCTTGGGTTTCACCGTGTACACTGAGCCTTGTTTCAGGGTGTGAAATAGAAGTATGAAAGCAGCTTTCCTGGTGTTAGAGCAAAGCCCTGTCTCAGCTGATATTCTTTTTCTGGCTACCATCAGTAAAGGCTTAGAGAAGGAGCATGAGAATGGGGCAAATATTTTTTTTTTCCCCCTAGCTTCCTGTGGTCTTTGGCTTAAGGATTTCTTAACTTGGAATTTGTGTTTAATAACTCTTGCTAGGTATGTTCAGGGCAGAAAGCTGCTCTGTGAATATCCCATGGTAATGAGTTCTTCAGGTTAATTTTGTGTGGTGTGCAATGGTGCTTTCTTCTGCTCATTTCAAACTGCTGCCTTGACGTTTCATTTAGTGCCTCTGAGATCTCTTGTTACATAATGTAGTAAATGGTCCTTGCTGTGTACTGTGTTTTCTGTAATTTGACATGCCCTCCTGTGCACTGTCTCACCTTCGTTGTTCTCAAATATCCTTTCTTTTGAAATGGGTGGACTAGGAATGAGTGTTTCACTTATGAAAGCATGGTGGGTTTGTACGTGGGCTGTGTTTCTCTATTTCCCTCATCATTCTTACTGTTCACTTTGTCTTTTCACCACTACTAGGCATTGTGCTGATGTTTTTTTACAGAACTGCCTCATGGCTCCAGGATCCTGAGCAGTTTCAACTAATTTAATGCTCATCATTGTGTGAGTTTATAGTGTAAAATGTTGGACTGAGAGAGGTTTTCTGGGCCATTGAATCCTCCTCTTGGCTCTTTTGGGTCCTGCCACCATCCAGTCCCTTTCATAAACTGATCAAGTTCCTTTTGAAAAGCACTTGGCTTTTCCTGCCCCTGTGCTTCCTTGGGAAGCCGTTCCAGACTGTCTCTGCTCCATTTCATTTCCAGGTTAAATTTTCCATGTTAAATTGGCATTTTTTTGCAAGTTGGTTTCTTTCATTCTTATTTCAGTTGTTCTTTTCTTCCCAGGGATGTTCCTTTCGTTTCATCTAGCATACTTGAAGTCTGCAGATTCCCTTCCAGACTTCCTTTGCAAGGCTGCTTTCTCTTCCAGTCTGCTGTGGGAAGACAAGCTCTCCACCCCATTTTTCATCCTCGTTGCTCTTCTCTCTACTTGTTTCCATTTCAGTTCATCTTTCCTGACCAGGGATCAGTAGTGTTGTAGTTGGTATTCCTACCAGTATTCTTGTTGTGCAACTGAAACACTGCTGGTTTCTGCTGGAAATCCTTCTCTGGGAGTCATATTTGCCTTCTCATGGTCACATTGCATTCGAACGTGTAGTCATCCCATGGTGGGCTCAAGCTTTCCATCTGTTCCCACCTTCTCACTTCTCAGTGGTTCTCACCTAAGCAGCCATGAGTGGGGGCTGAGGAAGTGTTATGGAAGTGCCTTTGCTCTTGTTGCACTCTCTTGTCTGGTGAGGTGTCTGCCACCTTCCCTTCCATCCACTGCAGAGGGCCATGCTGGCTCTTCTCATGTGTGTGTGCTACTCGAGAAATTACTTTGTTTCATGATGTACATGGAACATCCTTACAGTGTCTAGTAGGATGGCACATTGCTCCTGGTGGAAGTGGGACTTGAAGGTTGAGGTGCAGTGCATCCCCAAGAGATATGCTTTGGGCTTCTTGTGTCTAAGTGAGGGAAGAACAGCAGTAGACCTAAAGAGGCTGTTATTTGGAGGCTCAGAAATGCTCCTCGGAGATGTTCATGAGGATGACTTTCCTGGTATAGGCCATGGGGCTGTAGAGGTGTTGAAGCACATGTGCTGCTCACATGCACACCACGTTTTCTTGTGGAGGCAGGATCTCCTCAGGCTGAGCAAAGTTTTACCACGGGACTGGTTGGAGGGGGTAAGGAGGGAAAGCACAGGCTTGTTTACACTTTTGCTTTACCACATGCTAGGGTTTCCCCTAATATACTAAGTATTTTTACTGTTCCTTTAGTACTCATGTGATACTTGTGTTCTGGATAGAGCCCTTGCAGAGCAGTTCCAGGCTGAGGACAGTGGCGTGGGCTTGGCCTTTTAGGCACCTTGGGACACTGAGAATTGGACTGTTGTTTGGCCCTGTGGCTCTGCTGGAGAAAGGGTGGATGAGGAAGAGAGGGACAAAGTTGTTTACCAAGTTTATGGCCCTCACTTGTACAGTACTCAGCATTTCAGATCTTCCTGGTGCTGTCTGCACAGAACATGAAAGGAGCAGGTTGAGTATCAAAGCAGAAGGTGTGCAAAAGGCTGGGCACTACTGCTCCTTGCCTTTCCTGTTCGTCCTGTACAAGTGAGTGTGTCCCAACCCAAGAAAAGAGTCAACTGTCAAAGCAGTTTATGCCAAGGTATTGATGTTGCTGTATGGGAGGAATGCAGGGAGGCTGGCTGAACCTTGGTTTCACTGTCATGTTGGCCTGATAATTTTGAAACCTATAGTCAGGATGTGGCTTGCTGACCTCTGCCTGTGTCAGCAACCTGAAATTGGTTTCAGCCTTCCAGGTTGTAGTTCCTGGTTGGCTCCCCAGAATGTCATGTTTGTGGCCCTGGGATCACACATTTGCTCCATATCAAGTCCTCTGCCTGCTCGTCATGTTTCCTACCAGGACTCATTGCCCAGGGTCATGGCAGCCCCTTCCTGTCAGTGCCGTGCTCATGTTCTTGGCTCAGGCATCCCGGCCCTTACCAGCTGGCAGCGAGGAGGGCAGTGCCGCAGGAGAGCTACCGTGGTTTTCTTTTCTCTACACAGACAGTGCAGGTACCTGTCTACTCGGAGCAGGAGTACCAGATGTATCTCCACGACGATGCGTGGACCAAAGCCGAGACAGACCACCTCTTCGACCTGGCTCGGCGCTTTGATCTGCGCTTCGTGGTCATTCACGACCGCTACGATCACCAGCAGTTCAAGGTGAGTCCTGGGGGCCAAGGTGCTCCTAGAAACCTGCTGCTATGGCATGTGGAGGGCTTTCTGCACTTAAAAGACCAAATTACCCTTTGTATCAACTTCATTAGGGGAAAATAATGGATTATTGGCAGCAAGGAATATTGAATTTCCAGCACAGGGCATTGCTGCTTGCTTTGTTTGTAATTAAATCCACTGTGACTTGTGCTCATTCCCTGTTGTGTTTTATTAGAAAGTTAGAAGGTTTGCACCTGCCAGGAGAACAGGTCGTTGTTCCTTGAAGGTAAGGCAGCTGGGGAGTTTGTTTAGCTGAGTAGGCTAGGTGTTTTGGATTCCAGCCTAGGCCCTTGGAGAAGAGTCTGCTAACGAATGCTGGAGACTGGGACTTTCCCTGGTACTGCTCCTGATTTATGGCCTGACCTGGTGTGGGTTTCCACCATCTCTGCCATGAAACAGGGACCATCAGTGGTCTGGAAATGCAACCCTGGTGTCATAATCTTAAATGTCCTATAACTACTGGTTCCATGCTTCCTGGTGACGTAGGGAAAGATGTGACTCGTACAGAACAGCTCCAAATGCTGGAGCTTTTTCTTGCCCTCTGAAATGCTCACATGAAGAGCCTCTAGCAAAGTGAACTAACAAGAGTCTGCCCAGCTGGGCAGCCCAGACACCCTTGGTGCTTGTGGTAATGGAACACAGCTCAGGCTCCGTGATGATGGGCAGTGAATTGTTGCAGCTGATACCATCTTGGTTGTGGCTTGAACAACCATTGTCTGGAGCAGCTCAGAGACTTTGTTGCAGTTTCCTACTCGAAGGTTTTCTCCTCTCAACTCTCTTTGCATCCTTTTATCTGGGGATGTTGTCTCTAAACCCTCAGTGGAATAGTTGGACCCTTTGAGTGGTGTTTTTAAAGCAGTAGCTGTGAACCCATGACAGTTAATTCACACAGCTCACTGAGAAACTCCTCCTTCCCTGTCATTCCTCCAGCAGTGGCAAAGCTTCCTGCTGGTCTTGCTCCCAGGCATTGTGTCTTGTCTTGCATCTGACATCCTTCAACCAGTGGTCCTTGAGTGGCTACTGCACAAGGTTTTGCTTGGTACTTCCATAATGTTGTCTTCCTGTGATGTCTTCCACAGAAAAGATCAGTGGAGGACCTGAAGGAACGATATTACCACATTTGTGCCAAGCTGGCTAATATTCGTGCAGCTCCAGGCACAGACCTGAAAATCCCAGTCTTTGATGCTGGCCATGAGAGACGAAGGAAGGAACAACTGGAAAGGCTTTACAATAGGACACCAGAGCAGGTAACTTGGTCAAGAGAGCATCACTCCTCCAAAAGATTTGTAAGTTGAGTCAGTAGGTGCATGATATGGGCCAGAGGGTGGGAAAGGAAAAGAAAGGCTGGACAGCAAAAGAGCAATACCTGAGTACTGCTTTTGTTTTTGGATTAATTTCAATTTAAGGGGTATAAAAGGACAATAACTGAGAAATCTGACTACACAGGAGAAAGGGCTGTGTGAGCAGAGTTATGGTCTCTGGTAACTGCCAGGACCTTGTCAGTGACGCTTATTGGACTAGTCCTCTGGATAGAAACAAATTCTGAGGTCAATGCCCTCATGAGTCCCAGAGTCTCGTGAGGAGAGAATTATTTCCTTGAGAGAAAAAGTCTTGCCAGAAAACATTAAAACCTGTAAATCTATATGTTTAGTTCTCCTCTTTGCTGAAGCTATGTAATGTTCCCACAGTTTAGAGGTTAAGAAACTGTGTGTTCCCCAAAGGCTGGGGGAGAGCATCCTTTTCAGTTAGTAGTTCCCTCTATGGACAAGTTCATGCAGGTAGTTACTCTGCTTGTGCTTTCCTCATTGACAGGTGTCAGTACTAGGCATAGCTGCTCTAGGTTCAGTTTGCTGTGTCTGGGAAGGGAAGCCAGCCTTTCACAACACTGCATTTTGCAGCTATGGCGTATTTGGACTTTTTTACCCGTCTGTCTGTGCTCTTGGTCTCTTTGGAGATAAGATTAGTCATTTATGGATGCTGATGTAGGGTGCATCCTGGATGTTGTGATACAGCACCTGCCAGATTGTAGAGTGGCATTGCCATGGACGCAGGGTAAGGTTATGGAGCACAATGTGCTCTACAAGTCCAAAATGTTAAGCAGGAGCATAAAATCATTCCCAGGCTGGCCTGGGGCAGAGCTGTAATCGGTAGATGGCCCCCTTGACTTGCCAGGCTTCCTCTGCTCTCTGATTGCCTTGTCGTTCTCTGGTCTGCAGGTGGCAGAAGAAGAATACCTCATCCAGGAGCTCCGCAAAATTGAAACCAGGAAGAAAGAGAGAGAAAAGAGAACCCAAGACCTGCAGAAGCTCATCACAGCTGCTGACACCACAACTGAGCAGAGGCGTGCCGAGCGCAAGGCTCCCAAGAAGAAGCTGCCACAGAAGAAGGAGACAGAGAAGCCTGTAAACACTTCTCTCTTTTTCCTTCTTTTTTTTTTTTTCTTTTTTTTAATTTCCCCTGTTTATGCTCTGGCTGGGTAATGTGTTTTTCTTCAGCAACCCTACAGGGATCAGACCCTTTTTGGGCAAGGGGAGCAACTGCTGGCTGCCTTCTGGCAGATGTTTTTTTGGTTGCATCTTTGGAAGGCAGATTAGTGTAAGACAACCATTGTCAGTGTCCTCTGGTGTGCTCTCTGTCTCTCTCCCCTTTGAAAAATGCTGCTTTAAGTCTTGTTTCTCTTTCCTTCCCTGAGAAACGAGATGAAATGATGCCAGCCATTCATGCATCATGGCAAGGAGAAACATCTATCTCCCTGCTTCTCCCAAGTGTATTCTGTTACTGCTCTGTAGTGTTGGCCCACATACCCATTGTCTTTCACCTGCCTTCTTCTTCTAGTCCAAGTTTTCCTTTCCTCCCCATCTCCTGAGTCTCAGCAGCATCTCCCCAAGTTCAGTGCATGCCCCTCTCCTGATCCTCAGCTGTGATCAGAGCAGCCCTGCTGTGGGACTCTTTTATTCTGGGACCTATTGGTATTTCTCCCTGAGCTGAGCTGAAGTCTAAGGTGTCCAGAACACAGGTTTTGGTTCACATTTGATGCTACCTCAGTTTCCCCTTCTGGAAAGAGGAGGACAGCATGGACTGATCTAAATTCAGCACTTTCAGTAGGAAAGGGCTGTTAAAAAAATCTCAGATGTTTCTAGTGAGTCCCTGGGAATTCCTGTCCATTCACCTTGTGAACAGAGAGCACTTTTCTCCAAAAGGTTCTATACAGGGAGGGGAGAGAAGTAGTGAATGCTAGACAGTTTTTTCTTGAACTGTGCCTAATGGCCACCACTTCCTCAAAACACTCTTTCAGTGTGTTGTGTCCCGTGTGTGTCCCTGCTATGTGATGAATATAGTATCACTGGGCACCTCGTGCCTTGAATTCCATTGAGGGTTCATCTGGGAAAGCTCAGCCATAGCTGACATATCTCCTTCTAAAGGAAGCAGTTCATCGATGGTGGTAATGAAAAAAGAGGGCTAGAGAATGGTGCTGGAAAGATGCTGAGGATGCCAAGGCAAGGGAGTCCACCCCTAGATGTTGGCTGGTGCCTGTCTGCAGGCACGTAGTGGATGGGCACGCCAGGGTGGGCAGAGAAGCAGTTTCTGTTGTTGCACTAGCATCATTTCAACCATGACAGAGTCCATTAGGAGTCAATTACCAACTATAGCCGGGAAATGTTAAGAAAAAAATTGCATTTTAACTAAGAATTTGAATCGGGAGCTGCATCAGCATCATTTCAACAAAGGAAAATCATTTACCAAAGAGTCAATTGAGGTTGAAGCGTTTACAGCATGTACAGGCTGTACAGGCACACGAGGCAAAAGAACCCATTTAATTGCTTATGTGCCGAGCGCAGTCGGAGTGGGCTCGGCTGAGGCAACGATGCTGATTTACCCTCACTGCTTCTGTCAGGGTGTTCAGCAACAGGCTGAGGGGCAGAGTTCGGGGAGTCTGACAGCCAGCCTTCATCCAAAGGAAGCAGAGAGGATTGGTTTTTGATTGCAACCTTGTTTGTCTCTAATAATGCGAGCAGGGAGGCTATATCCTACCACAGATCAGAGTGATCTCTGCAAGTTCATGGGCCCTGTTGGTACTTAGAGAATACCTTTTCCTTCATGGTCCTATTTAGGACTCTCTTCCTGGGCCCTCTGTTTATTTGACCGACAACAGATAACTGAAATAATCTTAATGCCTGGCCACCTCAAGACCAGGACACAGAGATAGCTGATAGAGATGTGAGAGTCATTGGCAGGGAACTTTAGAAATCAAGTCACTGCCCTTCAGCATCTCTTATGATCTTGGGGCAGCCCTGCTTGTCTCAGCCCTGTCTGGAACAAACAAAGAACAAGCTGCAGGGCCTCTCTGCAGAGAAATGTGGGAGCAGCAAGGCAAATGATGTCTAGAGAAACTGGGAGATCTGAGGTGACTCTTCCTTTTGGAAAAATATGGTTGTGCATGTGTTTTGCAGAGGTTGTGGCTATTCTTAGGTTGAATCATGAGTATTGTTTACCCATTCAGGGGACCCCACCCCATTCAGTGCACAGGGCCCTGCAGATAGCCTGATTTAATGGTTTAAAGGTTTGCTCACCTTGTGCTTTGCTCAGCAGCACAGACTTTTTAAAGACTTTTTATTTCTTTCCATTTTGTTGAAATGCAACTAAATGCCGTAGTGTTAGGGACAACAGCATTGGAAGTTTGCTGCATTTTACTGCTATGCTTAAAATGTGAAGTGAGTAAGAAGGAAAACTGTCTAATGAGTGGACAAATGGCAAAACATGTATGAACAGCAGGCTTCCCTGGAGGGGGCCAGTCGTTGCATCCTCATTAGTGGGCTCATGTCTGTACAGATCAGAGGTTTCTCAGCTCATTCCTTAGAGAGTTCGCAGTCAAAAGCCAAGATTTAGGGAAGTCCTGGGCTGTTTTGATCAGTGAAATGGGTCTAAGTTAGATAAGGATAATATTGGGCAAATGTGCATAAATACCATTTAGAGTCAGGGTTTCTGTGTGGATGGGTATGTGTCTGTGCAGAGCAGTGCATTCAAACCAACTGACCAAAAATGCTTGAGCTTTCCAAAGATGCCTTGAACTGGAGTATTTCTCTCAGTGAATTGCTTGGGATTTTCCCACTGAATCCCATTGCTCGGGATTTTCCTCTTGCCTCAGCTCCGACATGTGGCCGTGGCAGGTGGTTCTCCGTCATAGGAAACAGTGTTTCCCCTTCAGATAGTCTCTATATGAAATCTTGTGTTTCTTGTGTTTCCTCCCTCAACACATCCTGTTTCGATCTCTTTCAGGCTGTTCCCGAGACTGCTGGCATCAAGTTTCCTGACTTCAAATCTGCAGGTGTCACGCTGCGAAGCCAGAGGGTAGGCTGCTGTCCTGGTCCCATGGGATATCTGTTCATGTCTTTCAGTCTGCTTGTCTCTCTCCTCATCTGTTCTCCTTTTATAGCTAAAGAAAGTCAAGTTCCTGCCTCTAAAATAAGAAAGGAATTCCATAAATGTGGAAACTCAGAAACCTGGAATGCTGGCACTGTCAGAGGCAGCTCGTCGCCTTGCAGAGGCACCTGAACTTGCTGGTGTTTGTTGCTGGTGTACCTGCTCTGCTGTTAGACACATGTGACAGACCCAAATGGAGCTGTCCAGTCCAAACAGAGCTCACAGCCAAAACTAGTAGGCCTCATAAAGGACATATGTCAATAGCTGAGAAGTGCTTTCAGAGTGGTTTCAGTTGGAAGGGACCTTAAAGGTCATCTAGTGAAGATCATCTCTAAGAACCGGATGTTCAGGTCGTGTCTTGAAAAAAACAGACACACATAAACACATATGATTTTTAGCCTTTCTATTTCCATTACCTTAAAAAATATTTTTTGGAAAAGCCCCTCTGTTCATTCTGCTGCAGAGATATTCCTGAGAAAAGACTTGACACCTGCCTCTTAGCCACAGGTTTTAAGATATTGAGCAAGTTAAACCTGCTTGGCTGACTGAACGTTTTCAGAGGGGTTTTGACAGCAAAATCCTGTGTGCCCAGTACAAGTGCTAATTTTTAGTTGCTTTACTATAGCAAAGTTGGATAAGTGGGTTCCTTGTCTGGCACCCTCACTTGGCATAGTAATTTAAAAGACTGTTTTTATGGAATGTTCTTTTGTTGTCAGAATAGTTTCAGATCTTGCTGGGAACAGCCTGGGGCTGTTACTAGAAATGTGTTTGGGATCATGCTGCTTTGACATAGAGGTGCACTTGCATGTTAGAGGCAGGATGCCTCAGCAAGGTCACTGCTGAGGAACCCCTGGAGTGTACAAGTGCCACCATGTGCAGGCTACCTGTTTGAGTGAGGGGCTGGAGGAAATCACAGTCAAGAGACAAGCAAGACTGCAGTGCATGTGTTGAGATTTATGGAGACGTGGCAGATGTGTTCTCCGGCACTAAGATAAATAGAGTAATTTATGGAGATTGATTTGGATTTTGAAAACTAATAAGTGGTGGTTAATCTTTTCTATTTTTTTTACCCCCTCTGGAAGAGAAGCTGAGCAATAACCTATCAGTGATGGAACCATCTGGCAAAGCCAGCAGCCTTTTTGTGTGCCAAACAGGCAATTCGAATCCCAGCCTTCATGAAAATGGGTGCTACATGCTTTTATCTGTTCCCTTTAATGGTCACAAAATGCAGTGATAAGCTGAGGCACGACAGTCTGATTCAGCGACTTTTAACCTGCGGTATCCGAGCTCCTGGAATGACCTAGAGCAACTTCTTATGCTCTGCTTGAAATTTTTAAGGAGATAAATGCTGTTATTAGAAGTACCGGTGGTTTGTGAATTAAAAAAGATGGTAAATCACTGATCTAGGTGAAAAAACAACACTTTGTTGTTTGAAAACATGAAACCCACCTCTAACCCAGCAGAATGAATTCATTTGTGTCTTTTAGCCAGTCACCTGGCTTCCTTATCCAGATCTTCAATGTTTCTAAAATGGGAGCTATTAGACTCACTTGCTTCACAGATGCATGATGGGGAGAATTAATTACGTGAGGTCAGTACGGGCCTTTTGAACTGGTAAGAGGTGGTGAAGTGCTAAATGGTGTAGAGTTGACAATCCATGCTAATCCAAATGATTTTACTTGTGGGATTTCTGTGGCAAACCCTCTGCACTCCAGTGGTGTGGAATTGATCAGGGTGGGAGCTGACTGGGACTAAGTGAGGAATTGGGATGAATTGCTGGAAACTTGTACTCTGGCAGCGTGCAGCCTAAGATGTTTTGCCCTTAGCACATTGGAAAATGATTTCTAAAAGCTTGTGATATCCTGCAGTAAGTTCTTTTGCCTGAGGACCTAAAGCATTCCCCACCTAAAGGCTTCTATTGTCCTCCTTTATTTTGTACTTTGCTACTGTGCTTTACACTTTCCTGGTTAGGCGAAGTTGGATTTTGCACTGAGATCAGGGCTCAACCTCTGTCATGTGTGAAAAATGTACCATATCATCCCCAGGATAATAGCACTTACTCTTTGATTAGAGATTTTTTTTTTTTCCTGAGGATTTACAATTAGTCTGAAATCTTGAGTTAAAATTAATTTATAGAAATGAGTCCTTGAAGAAAAAGTTAGGAATCCGTATTCAACTTAATTTGTTCCCAGTAGTTTTTATGACAATAGCCCTGGCTTTTCAAATTCCCCCTGTCGTTACAGCTTACAAAATCTTATGGACAGGCTGAATTTGAAGACTATTTTTTCCCCCCTAGGATTAATGGTCACTTACAGCCATTATTCTTCATAACCGAAAGTTTCTCCTTCAGCAGACGCTGAAGAGTAATCTTCTGCAGTGAGTTTGACAAGCTGCCTTCTATCAGAGTGGCTTCAGTCTCCCATTGTTCTCCATGGGACTGTGGCCACAGGCAAAGAAGGCCACAGCCCCTGTGCCCTTGCTCTGCATGGGATTTCCCCTCTGCCTCCTGACAGCACAGGCTGCAAGTTTCTCTAAGGCAGTGGGAAACTGGGCATTATGAAAAGCTTCCTCTTAATTCAAGGCAGTGTATTGCCTTGGTGCCACTGAGAACAGGAGGCAGCAGCAGATGTTTTGGAAGGGGGCAAGCCTTTCAAGAGTTCCTTTACCTTTGCTGTTAGTAAAACCATGTTATGAAAATAAGATCAGAAATGTGTTATTAATCCTAAGCATTGCTTCTGGAAAATGTCCTGTTATACCAGGCCTGCTCAGCTGAGAGGGCAGACAGCCAAAGAGCCAGAGGACATGAAAGGTGGTAGGGAATTTGAACAGGGAAAGGTGAGGAAGAGACTAAAGGAGAGCAGGGAGCTATGAGGAAGGAATCCTTTGCTGAGGATCTGCCTGAAGGAAAGGAAAATGGGAGCTGTTGAACTTGAATCTTTTCCAGGACCCAGACAAACCAACAGTAACCACACATTTGTGATCTGGGCATCATGTTGCTTCTGTAGGGCAGAGCTGAGTTTGTTTTGGTTTCACCACAGTGTTTCTGTAGCATGTCATGTTCAGCTTTCTTTTAAGTTTAACCTTTGTCTTTGACTTCATTGTGTTTAAAGTGCTTGACTTTGGCATACCTAACATCTCTGCACTGTGTTTTGAGTTATTCTTCTCTCTTGACCCTATCTGTGAATTTTAACTTATGATTTCGGTACTGCTGCTGAATTTTTGCAGCAGTGCTTTTAAGGAGGAAGGTGATGCATGGAAAGGGGTGGATGTTTGTCCCAACTCCTGCATGTTGAGGGATACATCTGTGTCCTTGCTCTGTTGTCATGGGTTTGGAAACAAAGGAACTGAAAGAGAATTGATTGAGTGATGTCTCATCTGGAAACAAGACAAAACTCCATGATGAAAAGGAGTTTGTAGAATTCTCAATCTGCAGAAAGGACTGAGGGATGTTCCAGCTTAGTCATTCAAAGCTGGCCTCCTCCCCTCAGAAAAGGCTTCCAGCCAGCAACCTGGCTCCATATGCTAACTGGGATCTTGTAGACAATTTGCCAGTTGAACAAATTAAGAAAGAAGTAGAGGAAGGAAAATTACAAGTAGAGCTTTAGTATCCATTGATTCAAATATTCACACTCAACAGTTTTTAAATATTTAGTAGCCTGCTGAGCACTTTTTTCAGCACTGATTAATGAATGAGAATTTACCGTGGTTGTGGGGGAAAAGCGTGTGTGTGTGTTTTCCCTTTTTTTTTTTAATTTTCTCAGAGTGAGAACTAAGTACTTACTGCACCTCCAAGGTGAATGATATTTCTAGAGGAAGATGGGGCTGTGTGTATGTGTTTAGACATGTTTATTCTCTGTATTTGATCTGACCTGTAATTAAATGGCCAAGCACGCTGCCTGTCTACTCTGCAGCGGAGACTCTTGGCTCTGTTCCTTCCCTGTCATTAATGCAAACCCAGACCTCATCGGCTGTGAACATGGGAAACATCTGTCTGTCCTCCTGTGATCAATGCTGTCCCTTCAGAGGTTCAGCTTTGGAAGCAGTTCCATAAAATATCAGTTATTTTTATTTGGGTTTGATAAATCTAATTACTTGGAGCAATTAATTATTTATTTGTTTTTTATTGATTGCACTCCAAGGCATCCTGACATCAATCTGATGGAGATCAGCACACCCTTATTAGTTAGGAAAGTTTATGTTTCCAGGTCTGGACATCCCATGGATTAGTTAGCTGAGATGTGCTTGTTGCTTCTGTTAGCAATTTTTCATTAGCAAAGTTGTATGTTTTGCACTCTACGAGAGAGTGGGCAAGAGTAATTTCCATGGGGAGCCTGACAGAAGTGTGGAAGGGAAGTAGTATTCTCATTTCTGTGAATAAAAGTTATGAACAAATGATGCAGGCTGGATCGAATTCATGTTGTGGTATTGCCATCTATTTGTTGTGTTATATGCCCTTTAATTAGGGCCAAGAGAGTGCTGGTGCATTTCCTAATCAAACTCCTGCCTGTAGAGAATGAAATAAAGCTAAAATATTGGTGCATTTATTTTTAAAGGGAACAGCAAAGGATACAAAATCTTGAATGAACTACAGAAGGTGAATTCAGCACTTCTCTCCCTCCATTCTTGTTCTTAGCTAAACTAGTGTTTATTAGGTGCCTAATGAAAGGCACCTAATGTTAACTTGCTGAAAGAAAATGCATCCTTTACCTTTTTCGTGGAGGTTACTGGACTGGGAGAGCATCTGGACCAAAGCCTTAGTAGGTTGTCAGGTGTAAAGAGAGCACTCTGGGTACAGGAATGGGGCCTTTAAAATAAACTGTAGTTCTGGAAAGGACACACTGTGTTGCTGCTTCTGTTGAATCATCCAGTACCAAACAGTGCCCATGCAGCATGAGGCCTTTGTTTGTCAGTCCTGGCCCAGTTTGAGA